AAACCCATGCAGCTTACTGATCAAGATAAAATAACCATAGGAAACACAGAGCATTGTGGTTTGTGTGGTGAGCTCCTAGGTTCAGATAGAGTATTGGATCATGATCATTTGTCAGGAAAATTTCGCCAAGTCTTGCATAACAAATGCAATCTAAACTTTCGGTTAAGGAAAAAGGTAATTGTGATGTTTCACAATCTAGAGCATTACGATGCTCATCTTTTGTTAGAGGTAGCACAACATTTTGGCGATCGTGAGATCACAGTTATACCTCATACCACAGAGCAATTTCTGTCCTTTACAGTGGACAATAGATTAGGCTTTCTTGATTCTTTCAAATTTTTGCAAAGTTCACTAGACGACCTGACCCAAAATCAATTGAAGAAGGGTGTGGACTCGTTTGTCCATCTGAAAGAACAATTTCCCCAGCATGTAGATATGCTAACACGGAAATTGCCTTTTCCTTATGAACATATGAATTCATGGGAAAAATTATAGGAAACACGTTTGCCACCTAAAGAAGCCTTCTACAGTTCATTGAGTGAGCAGAGTGAGTGATGAAGATTTTGCGTTTGCACATCAATTGTGGCATAAATTTCAATGCAAATCTGTGAGTGACTTCATGAGACTGTATGTGACAGTAGATGTGTTGTTGTTAACAGATATTATTGAAACCTTTAGAACAGGTTGTTTAACCGACTATGGACTGGACATTTGTCATTATTACTCCATGCCAGGTTTCTGTATAGATGCAGCTATGAAAATCACAGGTGCTAAACTGGACTTATTCACGGATGTAGATACTTACAATTTCATTGAACATTCTATTTGCAGTGGTGTGTCTGTCATTGGTAAAAAATATGCAGAAAGCAACAATGAACATATGAATGATTTTGATTCAGAGAAGGAATATTCCACTCTATTGTACTTTGATGTGGATTCATTGTATGACACTGTGATGGTGTAACCCCTTCCCATAGGAAATTACCATTTTATTGAACCTGCAGAGTTTGACAGAATAGACTGGGCAACTGTAGCTACAGAGGGCGATGATGGTTATATCTTAGAAGTTGATTTGATCTACCCCAACCACTTACACAGAGCTCATGCTGCTTTCCCCATGGCCCAAACTCATGATGATATCCTATTTGATGAGTTATCACCAGTGCACAAAGAGCTGTTAGCACATTTTAACCAACGACCAATAGATAAACTTCCAAAGAAGTCATCTGGTAGAAAACATTTTTGTACCTTGAAAAATCGTTCACATTATGTAGTTCATTTCAAAACATTGCAGTTGTATTTGAAACATGGTTTAATGTTGAACCGCATACATAGAGTGTTAAAATTTACGCAATGGCCGTGGTTGAAACCATATGTTGAACTCAACTTGAGGAATCGCAAAAATGCAAAAGATAATTGTGACAAAGACCGCTTTGGCCGCTTTTGTATGAACAAACGTAAGCACAAAACTCTACATTTGGTGACACAAAGACCCAAACTTCAAAAACTTGCAGCAAAAAGCAACTTCAAGCATACCACATTTTTTTCAGAAGAGGTGGTAGCTGTTGAACTGGAAAAGTTATGTGTGCACCTAGATCAACCCATTGCTGTTGGTTTCTCCATTTTGGATCTGGCCAAATATGAAATCTATTCCTTCTACTATGACATCATGCAAAAACAATATGGACATGAACATTTGGATTTACTGATGACAGACACGGACAGTCTCTTCATGCAAGTCCATGCCCCTCCCCATAAACCTCTTCTGCATCCTTATGTGTTCATGAAGCAAAATGTGCATTTATTTGATACTTCCAATTATGCATCCAATGATCCTAATGGTCTGTATTCTGATCAAAACAGAAAAGTGACAGGAAAAATGAAGGATGAAGCAGGTGGAAACATCATCCTAGAGTTCTGTGGACTGAAAATGTATTCCTTCTTGATGAAAACAGACAAAGAACTCATTGAGAAAAAGACAGTCAAAGGCATTAAAAAATCAATCATCAAGAAATTCCTCAGACATGAGATGTTCTTTCCACCTGATTCAATTTTTCAATAACGCTCTCTACACAACTAAATTAAGCAAAGTGGCATTGACCTCCATAGACAACAAGCGATTTCTATTAAATGATGGTATTCATAGTGTTCCTTATGGATATTCACCAACTGAACAGTTGTTCACTGTGTAGGCGAAAAGAACAATCTACATAGAAACAACCACTTCTATAGGTATGTATTTATATAAATCAGTTATCTTATAAATATGAACAACTTCTAAAATATGAAATTGAGTATGAATCTATGTATTGTGTGCTAGTGGCTAAGTGTGTTTGTCTTTCCAGGATGAGCAACACAAACTATCTGTGCAACAGCTGCCAGGGATTGCTGCCCATAGATGCCAATGGAGAAGATTGGCAAGGACTGTTTACATGTGTTAGGCGGCTGACTTTGTGTGCTGGCGATTAGGTGCCTGACTCTGAGGATGTGAGTTCGAATCCCGGATGGGGCTCAACTCAAAAAAGTACTAGAATTTGTACTTTACTAAGAAAGTGTAATCTCAAATATAACATATGTTACATTTGACCACTTTCTAAATGGCATTGTGTAATCATAGCTTTCGGTCGTGGGAACCGTGCCAATTAACACCTATCAGAGGGGTACACAAAGCCCGCAGTCTAGACTACCAGTTGTCCGACGTCCATGTTTGTGGAAGTCGCGGTAGCTGAATAGGTTAGGCAGCTGACTTTGTGTGCTGGCAATTAGGTGCCTGACTCTGAGGGTGTGAGTTCGAATCCCGGATGGGGCTCAACTCAAAAAAGTACTAGAATTTGTAATTTACTAAGAAAGTGTAATCCCAAATATAACATATGTTATAAGTGTATTTATGTATAACAAAACATCATTTGATCTGAACTATTTTTTGTTTATTTTGACTTTTTTATTATATATTTTTTAACATACATCAATAGCATCATTGACAACTAAAACAGGAAGGAAATAGTGACAAATATATTGAGATACAAAAGTGTCATTCCAAAGGAAGTTCCTTCCATCAAACTGATGAAGAATATGATGAAAACTCCAGTTGGTTTTGCATTTACATAACAGATAATACAAACAATAGAACCCACATACATTTGAATCTACAGAGTGTAACCGTTCACCATTGTGCAAGTAAGATCTAACATAAGACTTTAGATAACTATCAAATACAGCATCAACTGGTTCTGCTAAACTATCAAACAGTTCTGCTCTATTTCCTTTGAAATGCACAGCCACCAAGTGGCGACCACTCTTTTGTCTGCTGTCTGTATTCACAATGAAACCCACTCCTTTTTTCAACAGTGAAGGTGTGAGTGTGGGTAAAGTATCTTTAGCATACACTCCCAGGACATGTCTCTGTAAGACTGAATCACACTGTATGGTACATTGCAGTTCTGAAGCTTTCATGTTGATGATTACTTGATATACACGTTCCTTGCCTTATCAATTTCTATGATGGAGTTTCTTTCACTCATGATGACACAACTCAAAGTTTTGGTGAGAGCAGATTTGAATTCAATTTCAAGTCTCACATTTCCCGATTTCACCAGATTGAAATGTTCAGTTCCTACTTCATCCAGTTCGAAAACAAAGAGAGCGCTGCCAAGCATGAAGTCATTTCTTGAAATGAAGTTTCCCTTGTTTTGTTTCCAAAGTCCTTTACTATCAAACATGTTCAGATACGTGTCTTCATCGTCTGCAGGTTTAGCTCTCCCAGGAACACTGACTCCATTCACATAGAGGTTGACCATTTTAATCATGCTAGATTGAAAGTTGAATGGATTCCCATCATATTTCCCATTCAAACTGCTACTGTTTACAAATCCTACAATGTATCGATTAGCAATAGGATTTGAGACATTGTCAATGGTATGTGTTAATTGTGATACAAAGATACTGTTGACTCTGACTTCAGACTTGATGAAAGGGTAGAGTGCATTAGATTTGTTTTCAAACAAGGTATTGTGGGCTAGGATCAGTGCTGGGTTCACTTTGAGTTTGCAGATTTTGAGATAAGCATCTAACAGTTTAATGCTATACTATTGATCAGCAACTCCACTCATCAGACAGAAAGCAGGCGATGATCTGAACAATTTCAAAGTTAGATCTACTCCTTTAATCATGTGTCTGTCCATCTTAAACACATCTTCAAATAGATTTCCAGACATGGTCATTTCCTGACTTAATGCAATGAATTCACCAGTGTTGGCTCCTGTATCAGAATCAGTTGATTCAATATCACTGTTGTTGTTTACCACATCTTTTTTGAACAATTGAGATGACAGTTGAGTCTTTTTTGCATCTTCTCCATAGTTCAACAATGTTTTCATCATGCTCTTGTAAGCATAATGGTTGTTGGTGGAAGAGACCAGTTGATCATGGAGATAGACAGAGACTTGTGAAAACAGTGACTGCAGAAACAGATTGACTGGAGCCACATGTTCGTTGGCAACCAATGATGTTCCCTCTGAACGGGTAACCTTCAGCTTCACATGTAGTCTTGTCCTCTTTAGATCAATGTAGTCACTGCCTGAATTGGATACATGAAATTCCAAAGGTGTCAAATCATTAAATCAAATCTTCAAAATAATGTTGATGGATGCTGGTCTGATAAGGTGGTAGAGTAAAAAGGTTTAAACTAGGCGCACCGAGTTATTGTGGCTTTCTCATCCTTACAAGGTACCCATTCACAGCTGGGGTGACTGGGACACATAGTCACAGTACTTTGTCCAAGTTTACTGCACGTTGCTGTACCCGTAACAAGGTGTTTGCACATATTCATGTGGCCATCATCTGGTCATATACCAACGTATTCGTGTTTTTTTCTAAGCGGACAGGGTTGTGTACTGTACACTAGGGGTTGTGACAACGCTGAAGGAGTCTGCACACAAAGTTGACTCCAAGGTTTTTACACCCGGTCACAGGTGGGCTCGAACCATTACTGGACACGTGCACGTGCTGCTATGAACTGTTGTTACAAATTCAGATAAATAAATAAGCATGACAACAATCTTAAATTATGGCTGAACTACTGAAATGTTATATCTCTGGGATGAAGCATTTTATCGTCCTAATATAGCTTTCATATCCTTTTTCTGAATGTTTTAGATCATATCACAAGATTATGGCTATTGTTACCATCAACGTCTTATTAATAACTTTCAACACGTTAGATTCCAGCAGTTTTTCTGAGATCCTTCCACAGAGTCCCGTCTCCGTTGTCCTGGTAATCCTCTACACGCAATATGCACTTCTCCTCTACAACAGTCAGCAGACGCTCAGGCAGGTCCTCCACCTGTACGGGGCCCACAAGTAGCACAATGATCCGGTTAGGAATCAGATCCGTTACCGAGTAAAGTGCTGCATCAATGGTAAATTGTGACCACTGAGAACAATCTTGAAGGAAGTCATCTGAAATCACCAGAACAGACTTCCAGCTGTACGTGATACCGCAAATAATACCGTCGGCGATAGGAACACCTGGAAGAACATCCCGATCCTTCAAGAACAGACGCACAGGCTGATTACACAGTTCCAGCTCTGGTCGTACTTTCCGATAGACGAAGGGAATGTCAGCCTCACAATACGCGACAAAGAAGGTGAAATCAAAATCTTTGGCTGTTAAATATTGGATGCCCAACCCAAAGAGTTTCAGTAAAGCATTACGATATCGCACTGGATTATTGGAGACTATGTATACAGTAATAATTGAAGTAAACATTACAACCATTAATGTAACTGTCATGCTAAGCATCAATTTGCCTGTACAGTAGTGAAACAGTCTTTCATGATGTTGGACCACATCAACAGTTGAGGTCATTGTGCCATTATCCAGAATGCATGGGAAGTTCCTGTCAGTCTCGTAAATGACAGGTGTATCCACCAACCAAAGAACGAAGTCCAGATTTTCACAACTGCACGAAAAGGTGTTCCCTTTGAGAATAAGTCTGAGGTTGTTCTTTTCGAATGACAAATCGAGTTTCGTTCTTGTGCCTTTATCCAACTGTCCAATCAGATTGAAGGACATATCGATTAGGATAAGATGTGAATAGTCAATGGTTTCAATGGGAAGAGTCTCAAACTCATTATGAGATAGATTTAGATGAATGATTGTATTTGAAATTGGACTAAGAGGTATATCAGTGAGTTCATTCATTGAAACATCCAAATAGCGTACCGATTTCAGAGGACTCAATACATTATTGTCTCTGAAAGATATAGGGGAAAACTGTAACTTGCAATTTCGCAATGACAAGTCTGTTGCGTTTTCAAATGAGTGAAAATCAAACGCACTGTCAAACTTGTTTCCTGATACATCAACATTGCTAACATTTTCTAAACCTCTCAAGTGCTTTAAACCAAACAACGAGTTAGAAGCTAGCATGACAGTTTCAAGATTGTGGGTGTTATTAAATACGATTTCTTGGACGGTGTGTGAACCTCCTGATATATCAATTAAACCAAAATATCTAAGTTTAGGAGGCAATATGACTGTTACTGTTATGTTCTCACTTAATGTTTCATAACTTTGGGTCCTTTGAAAGTCACCATCTATTCTCTGCAGGCTGCAATCGAAATATTCAAGGTTGGAAAATGTGATAATGGAAAATAGGGCAATAAGATCCCCAGCAAAATAGTTTTCAGACACATCAAGAACTTTCAAACAACTTTCAAACGGATCTATGAAGACTGATGCAAATTCGATCAAGTATAAGCGGTTATCTTTCAAAGATACTTCAGTGACACATATTTGAGTCAGATAACGCGTACTTTCTTTAGTTAGGGCTCTATCAAGAAGTTCTTTTTCATGTTGCACTTCGTACTTGTATGTACCATTAAACCAAATTTTGGTCATATTCCGATTTACAAAGGGATGGAGAAGACGTAAAGCGTTGTGGTTTCCTATTTGATTGTGGGTTAGTTCCAACTGTTTTAGAAACAATAGTGGCTCCAGAACGCCTTGCTCACAGTCTTCTATACCACAATGATTTAAAACCAAAACCTCAAGCTTTGTTTCATTTAAACTCTGAAATGTTTCATTTCTTAATTTTTCCGTTGAACATTCGCCTCCATATATAAACCTGGAGTCCATCTGGAGTACTTTCAGATTTGTTAGGTTGGAGAATCCTGGACCAAACAAAGGATCAGAAACTGAGTCGATATACAGACTGTGGAGCTTGACGAGAGGAGGAAACACCCAATCCGGATATGATTTCATTTCAGTTTTTTCAAGATTTAGAGTTTGCAAACACACAAGGTCACGGAAGACTTCCTCAGGGAAAGACACTTTGTCTGATCGCAGCTTGTTCCGAGCAAGGAGAAGTTTGTTGAGACTAAACAAGCCCCTGAATGTCCCTGGTTCCATCTCTGACAGCGGGTTCGTGTTGATATTAAGGTAGATGAGCTTCCTAAACTTGTAAAATGTGTTATTTGTGAGAATGTTCAGATCATTTTCACTCATATCCAGAGCTGTTATATTTTCCGGAAGGTAGTCTGGAACATGTTGAAGTTTTCTTCCAGTACAGTCAGCAAACAAACCTCCATATTGCATGTCAAAATGCAAGGCACAAGTCTGTTCATTTCCTTGGCACAATGTAAATGTCAGCAAAACAAGGAGAGCCCTCAACATTGTGTCTGAAACAACAACAAAAGTGCATGGGCATCGCTCATCGGATACATTATTTAGTAAAATTAGAATAACATTTTATAATGTAAAAACAGTCATTACAGTCATTATAGCTCACCTGTATAAAAAAGTCTTGCAAATTAAAATACCAAGAAATCAATAAAATGTTGAGTGTGTGTTTGATATTGAGCGGTTTGGTTTGGTTGTTGTTTAACGCCACTGAGCAATATTCAGCTACATGGCGGCGGTCTGTAAATAATCGAGTCTGGACCAAATTGGAATACCATGACATGTCAGGGAGTCTGACACCCCGATCCCGTTAGTCGCCTCTTACGACAAGCACAGGTTGCTGAAGACCAAAATGACAAATATGAGGGCAGGTAACTACATTTGAGGGGTGAGGCTTGTGTATTTGTAGTGTCGTGAAGTGTAGTGCTACAATATGGAAGGTACTGCAGGAAACTACAACCCTATGGACTTTTCCAGTATATAGGGGGGTTGGAGAATCTTCGGGAGTCTTTTCTTATGTAATAAGGGGAGCTGACTCTTGTCTATTATCTCTCATTACATCTCAAGTCAAATGAAGACAGCTATTGTGCGGAGATCATTCTTACCCTGGATTCTCGGCCTGGGAAACGTGATCATAGTGCAGTGAGGTTTTTACTTTCCTTGCCTTTATTGCTATCACTACGTTTGTATTATTCTTCCTTTTAATTTGTACTCTGATCTTGCTGAGACTTCCATGATGTAGTTCGCCTTATTTAGAATGTCGGATACTCACGAGGCACTTTTGGGTATAGAAAGATAATAGTTCGAAAATTTTATTGGAAACTGTTTCAATGTGTCAAAACACCATTACTTCACTCTTTCAATTCTCCAATGGATACATGGGGCCTTCCGTCTAGTTTATGCAAAGTTCAATATTTAGCGCAAATAAATTCTGTCTGAATCCAAAATATTTACTTGCTGTCCTACAGATCTAGTGTCGTCATACTGCTCCCCAATGATAATATTTACAGAAAAGTGCCAGAAAACGATGATGAGGTTCAACATCAATATTTGGTCTAATATTATCTTTGAAGAGGCAAACACTAACCACCGTAACTTCTCAATGTGTTGGATAGACGATAGGAAAACTTTAGATCGAGCGATTACTTGCTTCGATCATGTCTTCAATATACTGCTGCTGAACTCAACTTGAGATGTATTAACAAGGATAGGAGGTGACTTCAGAACCGTTTTCTATCAGAAGAGCAGATTCATTTGGTCCTTTGCCATGCCTACGACCGATCCTTTAAGCTTTTTCTGTTTGCTTCACAAAGAGGAAGGTTAAGGTTATCGGCTAGTTCCTACTGAGCACACATATCGAAATCTTTAATTTACCCCCCTTTACATACATACGTACAAACATTTGTATAGCGCCGATATCCAGTACAACTGCTCAAAGGGGCTTTGTTTTCCCTCGATCATTGGATGTCCATCACAACGGCACATCGTATTTTCAATCTCAACTCCCTGGGGACCATACAACTGTTGGTACCTACTAGTCGCACCGAGTTAATGTGGCTTTCCCATCCTTACTAGGTACCCATTCACAGCTGGGTGGACTGGGACACATAGTCGCAGTTTACTGCACGTTGCTGTTCCCACAACTAGGTGTTTGCACGTATTCATGTGGCCACAATTTGGTCATCTACCAACGGATTCGTGGGTTCTTTTAAGTGCACAGGGTTGTGTACTGTACACTAGGGTTTGTGACAACACCGAAAGAGTCTGCACACAAAGTTGACTCCAAGGTTTTTTACACCCGGTCACAGGTGGGCTCGATCCCGGCACCTCCAAGCTCGCTGGATTACTAGCCTGTCGCCTTAGACAGCTCGCCCACCGCACCCCGCTCGCCCACCGCACCCCGCTCGCCCACCGCGCCCTTTACATGGGTGATCTTGAATTCAATGCCAAGAATGATTCCACACTGAAAAATCATGTTCTCCTGGCTGAGTCCTTTGCAAATGCAACATTCTCCGTCTGATAAGGCACAAGATAGAAGAGGGAAGATTAGCCACTTTACTTTGTGGAGGAGTTGTTGACCATAATAAGTCCATTTGTATAGCGCCCTATATATAATCACCAAGCGGTTGCTCACGGCGCTGACATATATATACATATTTACAACAGGTGTTCATTTATATGTCTTAGTGCTTCTTGAACAGGAAAGTTCTTTAAGTTTGACTGGAAGCTGGCCATTGAGGGGTATTCTTTGAAAGACACATGCAGGATAGCTGACAAATAGGAAAAAAATCCTGGCTGGGAGTGGTAACCAGTGCAGACCCATGAGGATTGGGGAGATGTGTCTGTGCTTGGTGGTTCTGCAGATCAATTTGGCAGCTGCATTTTGGACTTTTTGAAACCTGGAGAGCAGGTCTTTGCTCATGTTCCCAAGCAAACTGTTGCAGTAGTCCAAGCGGAACAACACCATGTAGATCTTACAAGATGGTGTGTTGCGTCAGCTGTTAATAGGTGGCGCATGGTTTTTTACTGTTGGGCTCACAGAGTTCCGAGATTCGCCTATCTTAAGTGAATTTACACTCAGTTTAGGTCTGTTGACTGGTGAACAAGCCATGAAAATGTGTGTTTTTTTATCGTTTAGTTTGAGTTTACTTTGAGTCATCCATGTCTTCACATTCCCTACACACACTTCAACTTCTGCAACTTGTGATTTTGCATCGTTAACATTGAATTTTCTTAGGGTGTTGAGTATCATCAGCATAACAATGATGTAAGATTTTATGCCGAGTAATAAGGTCCCCAAGACTGCTGGTGTAGAGAGTGAATACCATCGGTCCCAATAAGGAACCCTGCGGAACACCACATGAAAGGTTGCGTGTCTGGGATCTAATATTTTGGATGAGCACAAACTGAGATCGATCTGATAGATATGAGAAAAACCATCTTAGAACAGAGTCACCTAATCCAAAACGGTTTTGTAGACAATCAAGAAGCTGTTTGTGATCTATCGTATCGAACGCTGCCGATAAATCAAGAAGGACTGTGATTGTTCCGATACGCTGACTGGAATTCATCATATAGACTGTGGTTTTTCAAATGAGCAGTAAGGCGAGTCTTTACAGCCTATTCCAGCACCTTGGACACATAGGATAGATTTGAGACGGGTCTGTAATTGGCCAAATCATCATTGTCAAGGCTTGGTTTCTTCAATAAAGGCTTCACAGTTGCTTGCTTCAAGCATTCTGGAACGTGTCCTGAGACGAAGCTGAGATTTACGATCTGTGTAATGACCGGAAGGGGAACATCCACAAACTTTAGCATGAATCTGGTAGGGATGGCATCCATCACACTGAGGTCATGTTCTTGATTTGATCAATGCAGTGGTCAGATTTGGATTTCCGTATGGTCATAGTACTAGCATTCCTTGCTGATGTGTACAACTGTCTGTCAATTTGCAACTTTGATTTCCGCCATTTTCTTTCCATTGACCGACGATGGGCTTTTGCTTCAGCAACATCCTGAGAATACCATGGGACAATGGACCTCACTGGTATGTTCTTGACTATGCTTGGTGCGTGTTATTCAAGAAGATTAGACAGGGTCTTATCATAAGCTGCACACAATGAGTCCACATCGGTAAAGGTCCCATTGATTAACTGGGAATCTTGAAGGTCCTGTTTAAAAACACATTTGTCAATGCACTTGATGTTTCTGCAGGTGACGCTTTTCACTGGTGTTTTTGGCATGGAACAGAGAGGGTGAAAGATAAAACATAATGATCAGACACTTGTGTGTCTTGGACAGATAGACCGAACACAAAGTCATCGCGAGCAGACCGCATCAGAACCCAGACTACAGTATGTCCAGAACGATATTTAGGTCAAGATACATATTGGAGAAAATCGTGAGATTCAAGAACTTTAACACACTTCTTGACTGCTGCATCTTCAGGATTCTCAAAGTGTACATTGAAATCTCCAAGCAACAACACATGCTTCATTTTCAAATTGACGAGAAGTGTTGACAGTTCGGAGATAAACAGGTTATAGCTTCTTTGAGTGGCATTTTAGAAGTTGGGAAGTACAATATAGAACAAACTTTATGGATAACAACGAAGTTGTTATCCATAAAGATTGTTCTAAACAGGTTATAGGTCAGTCCGTTTTTCTTAGACGGTGGTGGGCCTATAAATGCAGATACATCGTTTGCATAACAAAAAGAATCACATCAGACAATAGGTTCTACCAGCCACGCCCTTCCAACAATCATTTATAAATATCTATCAATTTTAAGGGAAGGACGTCATTTGATTAACTTTTGCACTTATGCATTTGTCCGATCATTCTCTTGTGATGCAGGGGCGATGGGGTATACTAGTGGATCAGACGCTCAGACCCTGAAACCCAATACTGCCTTAGCAAGTCGAGATTACCACGGTTGAATGGAAAGAATCTTAACATATATTCCAAGCAGTGTAGCTCTGCAGATTGTGTTAAGTCTCTGAAAATGAATAACGTCTCTGGGGTCATTTCTATTATATTTTATGACTGGAATTAAGGAATCAGTTCTTCTGTAATAAATGTTCATTCGGAGACTAGATGTTAGTCTAAGAGGCTTAGTGGACGGAAGATGATTGAAAAGCCCAACTATTGGGGCCCACTGCTACACCCACCTGTATCCACTGTCGGTAAGAATACAAATATTCTTTTACACCTGTCTTCATTGTCGCTACCTAGCTGAAATAATGCCCATGCGACGTTGAACTTTCACTCGTGCACCTGTCGCCATTGCTGGTGAAAGCAATAAACGTTTCGGAGCAGATATGCACTCATGTCTGCATTGGTCGAGAACCGACTGAGTCAAGCCAGCAATACACGACCATCTACACCCCTTCCAAATCTCCATTTTTCTTGATATTTAAAACAATATGTCCCTTAGGTTTGTGACTAAACTGGTGTCATTATATTCCCAAATAAACTGCCTATCGGCACATCTACCTGTC